TCCTGATTTGGGGTATATTACCATAAGTCTCCCATCTGGTCTTGTGGATAGAAAAGCACTCGGTCGACCATAAAATCGAGAGGATTCACACACAATCAAGTTATTGTTTTATAATGGGATTCATGCTTTTGTAGAAGCATATTAAGATGGTGTCTGGAAGAAAGGGAAAAGTGTGGAAACTCAATCTGGCTGGCAGAACAAACACTCACGGAGTACACACAGCAGAGGCCAGCGGAGGCCAGTGGGGTGGATAAATGAGAGTGGTAAATAAATCCATTAAAAGCATGGGTGTGCCAAAGACACAACCAGCCCAGTACTTGATGTCTGCCTGTTTGTGACTCACACCAGCTCCAACTTCTCTGTGGGATCGGCGGCGAGACGTCGCTTCCTGCATTGTGACAGGGTCAAAGTCCTATGATCGCTCAGACGGATAATCGTGTTCTTTTAATTTGATCTTCTGTGCGCACATCAGACGCTTCTCAGTGTAGAAAACAGAGGTTAGGAAGTGGAAAATGCACTCAGCCAGAAACTATGCAAATAAGCTGCCCAATTTACAAGAGAGGGACTGTATCAGTTGCAGTGTGTCACAAGCAAAACAGACTCCCTTGTGGACGCAGAGGAGCAGATGACAGAGGAAGTGTGGAAAATACTTGTAAACATGTGTAATTGAGTGAGCTCCCCAAGGAATTGGACAGAAGCGTGTTTTGTTTTGGCTTAGGAGTCATAATACTTTGGATAGAAAATTATAGCATGTGGCTGGAGGTAGGATCTCAGTGCTAATTTGAATTTCTGCTGCAGTGGCATAGCTTCAAGAGTGCTGTGTCATTCTGTATTCCATTACAGTAAAGTTGGTAAAAAGGGAAGAAACGCTATATTTATACTTGCAGACAGACATGCAGACAGCCTGCCCCTGAAATTCTACAGAGTTGCTAGTCACACTCGTATAGGGATTGGGGGTGAAGTCTCAGGAGTGCAGGACATGATGTAAGAATGAGAAGAAGAATTTGTAATGTTTACACAATATCCAAGCAGCAAGGGAAGCAAAGTCAGGCGCTCGTGTTATTGGATGCAGCCATAGTGTAAAAACGGAAGAGAACATGCAGGCGAGCAGAAAAGAGTATGAACCTACTTCATTGTGTGCACGACAATCACACCAGTGAATCACTTGTTTTACCATTTAATCATGACCCCTCCCTCAGCTTCTCACTGGTGGGGATCGTTCTTGACTTTTGCCTGATGCTTTCTTGTCTCACTGCGACTTGTGTCCCTTTGTGATTGCTGAGAGTTTCATGCCTGGTTGAAAACACTGTGTCATAAGTCACAAGTTGTATAGAGAGAGAAACAGGATATATGAGGAGATATGGTCGACTAACTTAAATCTGAATCTTATTTTTTAACTGATTAAGAGGCAATTTAAGTGAATACAATAATATTCAACCTAACACTGTTGCCTCTATATTCAATCCAAAGGTTTTTGCCATTTGAAATGGGGGAATTTGAACAGAAAGTGTTCTTTATTTAAACATTTCAGGTCCAATTAGACTAAAAATTCCCTAAAACTGAAGTTGACAAATTGTGCACTTAACCCACAGTTATTTTATCATTTCACATTTCAAAACAGAGAATGACGGCTTGTTAGCAGCTGGCCAGGGACTGGGAGCTGTGCTGAGGCAGAAAACAGACTCCCTACTGTTTATTTTCATTTAACTGTGGAACTCATCCAATGAGACTCTCTTATGCTCAATAACAGAACATTGTTTTCCCCATGCTCTGAATTTAATTCTAGGAAAAACTGGTTTCGAGTTACATTTTTATTCCTTCCAAAATACAGTCTATTCAGAATGAAGAAATGTTACATTTTGATAGGCAACTGTGTGGAATGTTTTTATAACGAGTGAAATTGATTTAAATAAAGGTTTAAATGTATCCACAGTATAAAGCCATGCAGCTCTTTATAGCTAAATGCTCATATTAAAGGCTGTGTTTTTTTTAAGGTCAGGTTGTATGAGGATAAAGAAAGTGTATTAACCACAGGAGATGCTGGTCATCCTGGCTCCTTTATAGAGTAACTGACCGGAGTGCCGCCATGACAGCTAGGCCATATTTTGCTGTAGACAGGGCAACATAATTCAGCTAATTTTAAGAAAAAAAGACCATTTGGGTAAGTATATGCTCTACAGAGAAAAAATCCTAGCACTTTACCATCATCAAGCTGCTTTGTTTTTGCACTTATGCAACACATATAGGATGTCCTCCTTGACTTGAAGGGCATTATCAAACTGTTTGTCTGATGAAGGTCTAGCACCGAGACGTGGCCAATAAATGTTTGTCTGCAAGTTAGACAGTGTGTGGGAGTTTACCTGTAAGTTTCTGATGGATACATTGCTTTCCCATGCACCTCTCTTATGAAAAATATGTGCTCGTTTTTGTTTTTCCTTTGGTCGATTTTCCTAAAATTTGTCAAATGTTGTGGTACAAATGACCTCGTCTTTGAGGTGTATAGCCAAGTTTCCATCCAGGCACTCCGGACGGTTTCTCATTGAAAAGGCTGAGCTGACAGATATCTCCTGTTGTCTAAGACATTAACTATACCCCATACAACCCCACCTAAGAAAAACAAAAAACTATCCCTTCAATGCTATCAATCAAGCAGTTAGAACTAAAGCAAGCTGATGTTGACCATACGCTTGAAAACTATTCCTCCGTTTGAGTCAAGGGATCCCAAAAGAGTCATTAGAATGAATAATCTGGGACAATAGAAGTCTGTGAAAAAGCAACAAAGTTGACAAAGCAACATGTGACCATTTTTAATTAACAGAAAGATCAACACTTGAATTCAACTAATTATTCAACGTTAAAGGAAGACTTCAAGAGCCCCTGTTCAAAATCAGTGTTATAGGTTTTAATAATTGAATGCATTTATGTGCTAAGTGTAAGTTTCAGGATTTTTAATAGCAAGCTAGAAAGCAGTTCTTGTGAAATTACAGCTTGCATTAGCGTTGCACATTCAGTTCCACACTGTTTCCCCTAAATGTTGTGACCAAATATTTTTTAAACTGATATTTGGAGGAACAACATCTTTGTCTGTCAGAGAAGATTATTTCTGAACATTTCAGTCGATCATAGACGTTAAGTTTTACCCTGCTTTCGCAGTAATGACTTCACTAATTAATATAACTCTAGAGCGTACATCTGTTTCACTTTTGATCATTATGGTTTAATTAGCTCTATGCTTATGATTTTTGTCTTATTTCATTGTTTTGACTATTTGAGCCAGAACAGCCAGGCTGCATCTTTGGTTGCTGCGCTGCTATGTGAAAAGCTGCTCCTCCAGCTTTGCAGATAAGTGATACACGGTTCTTTATGGGTTTAGCGGTTTGATGTCTCAAGGGCAAGAAAATGGCAATGTGCAAAACTAAATGTATTCTCTGAAAAATGCATGAGGCTCAATCTGAAAGGACTTTTTACTGCGAAGGGAGTTAATGATGTCTCTATGGAGCAGATCTGTTGAGTAGGCAAATGCTAAAGGGGAGGGTTTGCTTATATATTCATCATTTTGTACATCAACACCTGGAGATAACTCTTCAAACCAAGGAGTATGTATATGTCTCCAAATTGTCATCATATGTTTTTACACAATCTCAAATTTCTGGTCATGAATATCTGAGCCACCAAATATTACAAACGACTTCAGAGAAGTGTGAAACCTTTTAGATCCTTCTTTCACAGTGTTACATGGCTTTCTTGAGAAGAGACACTAAAAAGCTTAAAACGGTGTGAAGAAAGTTTTCATCATTGCTTGAGCTCTCCATATATCGTCATGCTTTAATCAATCTGCACATAATTAACTGACACCAACAGAGCAAAGATTATGTTTTGTTCATTAATATAACACTTAAAAGTAAATGCAAAAAAAAAATGAGCTCACTTTTCTGTTCCCCCCCCAAGGGTGACTTTGACACAATAACCGTGTAATCTCTTATAATTATATTTTAAAATATTTATGAAGACTATTCTAGCAGTCCTGAGAAAAAATGATTTTCATAAAAGGATAGAACATTTCAGCTGTGGTGACTGTGAAAAATCCACTAATTGAGTTTTTTTTTATTTATTTTTTCTAAATGTGAAACACCAATGTGACAATAGGCAAGGTAAACCCCATTTAAAAGGACGTATATAGAGCTGTCTATCCAAACAAAACTTGCAAACAAAAAAAAATATCAAGACACCAATCAACATCATCATAGGTATGCCCCGCCTCCAATAAATATTTGAAAAATAATGGTAAATGGACTTGAGCTTGATAGAGCTTTTCTACTCCTCTGTCCAGTCAAAGCACTTTTACAGGTCACACCAACACATTCACACATTCTGTTTGCAGAGGTTGCTCTGTAAAGTGACCATCAGATCTAACTGATCCCATTCATATGCCACCGAAGAAGCAGCGGGAGCAGCTTGGGGTTAAAAGTCTTGCCCAAGGACACATTGGACATGTGGCTGCAGGAGCATCCCTCATGCCGCAACTGGGACCAAAAGCATGAAACGAGTTCAAGTAGCTACAGTAGATAGCAAGGGGTACAGGTTAGATTAACAGTCAAGTCAAATTTCCTCGATGTAATACATGATTCATTTAAAACATGAATAAAAAGAAGAAATAAACGTATTCAGTCAGTGAAGTTCACTTGCTAAGATAATCAAAGCGTTAGTTTCATGGATCTTTCGGCATCTTCTCTGTGGTGTTTTGTTCTGTGAAATAACACAACAATCTTTTTGTTGTGAGATCAAACGTATAAACCTCTCCAATCAATGCCAACCCAACAGCTCAAGCCGCTGACTTTGAAATACATTCCTTAATTACTACGTTTCATCCCGCGTTCTTCCTGTCCGCCTTTATCTGGATCAGTGTCAGAGTCCTGCACACTCAGTGTTGTTTAGTACAGGTGTGTATTGTATCTCAACTCTTAATGTCTGTCTTTATGTCCTCTTTCTTTTTCCTGCAGGGTGAGTGCTCCCAGAGGTGCTATAACATCTTTGTGCTGGAGACGGTGTGTGTTGCCTGGTTTTCGCTGGAGTTCATGCTGCGCTTCATTCAGACGCAGAGCAAGTGTATGTTCTTGCGTACGCCTCTAAACGTCATCGACGTGGTGGCCATCCTTCCCTACTACATCACTCTCATCGTGGACTCTATGTCAGTGGGAGGCAAACCAACAGGCTCAGGGAACAACTACCTGGAGAAGGTGGGGTTAGTCCTACGAGTCCTGCGGGCCCTAAGGATCTTTTACGTAATGAGGTTGGCTCGTCATTCTTTAGGCCTGCAGACGCTCGGCTTGACAGTGAGGAGGTGTACGCGCGAGTTTGGCCTGTTGCTGCTGTTCCTTTGTGTGGCCATGGCTCTTTTCTCCCCACTGGTGTTTCTAGCTGAGAGTGAGCTGGGTGCCAAGCAGGAGTTCACAAGTATCCCTGGTAGCTACTGGTGGGCCGTTATCTCCATGACGACAGTGGGATATGGAGATATGGTGCCTAGAAGCATCCCCGGCCAGGTGGTGGCACTCAGCAGCATCCTGAGCGGCATTCTCCTCATGGCCTTCCCCGTCACCTCCATCTTTCACACATTCTCCCGCTCTTATTTGGAGCTGAAGGAGGAACAGAACCGGGCACTGAGGCAGAAGCTGGACTCGCAGGACAGCACCAAGTCCCAGAACAGCGAAGACTCTCAGGAGACGGACAGCTACCATGGCATCACGGAGGCCACAGCCTCAAACTTGCAGAGGAGGAAGGCCATGGCGGCGCAGAGGGCTGCTGAAATCAGGGCGTCCACGCGAACATAGCTGATCTGTCTGCCTTCGTCAAGCAACAGCCTGGGAGGCTGTGACACTGAGCGCCAGGACTTCAAAGTTGACAAGCTTCAGGATTGTGAGCAGGGAGGAGATTTTCCTCTTCGGAGCTTGACTCCGCTGCTTTGATCATGTAAAGCGACTGTGCACCAGAGTGTGTCTGAATTTGTTTAGTTTAACAGAGGAGTTGCAGGGGTCTTTTTATTCCTCCACATATTTGACTTGAAAACACAAGTTACTGTAAACTGTTTGTAATTAAACAAATGAGATTGAAAAAGTAACTTATACAGTACTCTCATTGACTGGGGTTCAGAGTTGAGAATGCTTACATGCAAAGTGCGTGCAAAGGATAACTTATACAAACACAGTGTTATTTAGTCTCAGACTAAATTCATTTTTCCTATGTAGCTACATTTTAGAGGATTGTCTGTTAAGAGCTAAAATGCCAGACATGTATTGTTATTTATCAGATGCAGCATCATCTCCATTTGCTTAAATGTATTTTACCCTAGGATGATCAAGGGAAGATACATTTTTAAAGATTTCGCTATCTGCTAAGAAAAGGCATCTCTTTTGCAGAATTTACTTGTAAAGCTTTTTACTTAACGCTTACACAATGGGTCTTATGCATTAATGTTTTTTTTTTTTTATAGTTTTGTCCTGTTTTGCTCAAAGCAATAAAAATGAAAATCAAATAAAAATAATCTCACAGGGGATTCATGAAACACGAGCTGACAGCCAAGTCTGTTCTTACCAACCATGGTATGTTGACGAATAGGGGTTAACCTTTAATTGGGTGGGGGAAATTTGCATCGTGAAATAATCCCAATAAACCAATTTAAAGGCAACACACTGAATTTCAATGTTCAATCCACAAACCAACGAGTCCCCCCATCAGGCAGTTAATCTTAGACATTGGCCGTAATTATAAAGATATTACACTTCACCACTGAGCAACGGTGGGTTAATTAAAATGTGCAAATGCTGAAAGGTAATTATGCACACTTGTGAAAATGTTTGAATTTTAACACTATGAATAAGCTGCCAACTTCCAGCAGCACCTTAATAAAAATTCAGCGATTTTGTTTATCACATATTATTTGATGTTGATAGAAGATTTTTTATTCTGTTGGTTAAGGGAGTCACACATTGGGCCTTTTGTTCCAATAACAGTACAATAAATACTGGATTATAATCCTGTCGTAACATTAAATCCCCTTTTTATCTTGGTCTGCTGAGCAGCTGAGGAAATTAAATGTAGTTTAGTGTCAAGTCTCTCTCTGGAAGGTCCAGTGTTGATGTTGATTATTGCCACAAGGGTCTTAAAAGACCAATATGTAAGATATCTACTGAATTAAATCATAAAATTACCATATCATCAGACATTAAGGAAATATGATATGTTGAAGTGCTTGTCCTCCTTCTAAGTTTCAATTCTGGTCTGGAATTGTTTGTTTTTGTTTTGACCAGAGGACATGAATTGGTTCAGACATAACTGATACTTATCTGACCTAAAAAGCCTCGGCATTATTTAAATAAGCTCCGAGACCAAATATGTTGCAAAACTAGGATAAATATTGGAGATGCTTTTGAAAAATTGAGAGCGGTTAGAACGCAGAAACACTGAAGCTTCCCTGTCTGCGACCTGGCAACCTTTGTGCACCTCAGCTCTAGGGAGGAGGGAGCGGGGGGGAGACAGCTCTCTCCAGTGTTCTGAATTTGGACTGCAGTACCACATGTCAGAGTATCTCCTTTCAATCTTTTGCAAACTCAATTAGCGTTCAAATCAGTGTGCAGGATTCATGAATGAGGCTCAATGTGTTCTTATATTAGATAACCCCCTAATGGCTCACTTAAAGATACAAAGATTTAGGGTGAAAATTAAGAGTATACCCACTTCTTAAAGCACCACCGCATAGCGTCCCTGATACTTAAAGTTAAATTTCCACAGATAAGTTCAACTTTCTGTGGTGGAGAGATGGAGTTGCTATTTGTGTACATTCTTGTGTCACATATTTTACCAGTCAGAGAAGCAAACACCCTTTGATTCTCCTGGAAGAGAAAATGTACGGCATATATTTCAAATCCACATCCAGGTAATGAAAAACACCAACCTCAATTTCAACAGCCTTAAACCATTTCGGATACAGCAAATATGTTTCAGTCTTACAGTGTTTCCTCATATTATTGCAAATACAGCACCTTTTTTCATTTGACTTGAGTGCCTTGTGCTTTGAAGTAACACATTAAAAAAACCATTTCCTCAAATTGTTGTCAAGTCAGATCCCATCAAAGCAGTGCTTTAGAGTGCAAATTTCATGTTAAGCCTACCAACTCTGAATTGCAGTCACTGGATTAACTGAATCATTAAGCATGAAAACATAACACAGACACTGTTATATCCACAATGATGTGTTTTAAATAGAAAACTGTTGTTTTGATGAGGAGGGAATGAGATCATTAGACATCACAGAATACAAACCCTGCTTTAATAGATCTGTGCTCTGCGTCATGAATCCATGAAATAAAGATGATAATGAACACAGTCCCATGTGAGAAGGCTTTGATTTAACAACTTACAGGGACGCTCTCAAGTTTGAGGACACTGTGTGCTGCACTTAGGACGTCCTAAATTGGTTTGTCTGCGGCTCGGTTCATGTTTTCTCCACACCCTGTATCAATAATAAATGAATTCTGTTTCCAGGAGTGAAGTTGGCTCTATACACTACGGATTTCATAGATGGTGACAGTGCTTCTGTGAAGTGTAAAGAGAGCTTTGATGAACTTTCATGCTCACACAGTTGGTACCGCAAGGTCAAGCTAAGGGGAAAATAGACCATGGACGTTCGTCTTATGGCCATGAGCTCAAGCAGTTGGTTATCGACGACATCGCTTCAGAGTATATTATAAAATCTTTGTGTGAAAACAAAGTCAATGTGGTGATATTTTAAAGGATAAGTAAGAGGAGACCTCAGAATCGGATTTCAAACATATTGGTGTAAGCATTGAAGTATTAGCCAACTGTTGATACATACATAACCAGCAGTAATTCAGTTTTCTTACGGACAAATTATAAACAAGGTGTCCTCTCTGAAATAATAGACCGGGTTATTTGAACCAGCAAATTCTCTTAATAAAGCAATTTGTATTTAAAGAGTGTCTCTCCAATACTCTCTCCTGGGGCTTTAGAGACAGCCAGCTGAGCTGCCACTAACTTTAGCCTGTATCTGACTTAAATCTGGCTGAAAGTGACATTATATGAAATACTAAAAAGGTTTCCAATTGTAACTGTTACAGTTTTCCAGTCGACCAACAGTCAGTACGAACAGTTAAATGTAAAACTCTTTTAGGCTGATAAGTATGGCGGCTGGGAAGTGCAAAACAAAATGACAAAGTGTGAGACACTTTTACATAGCTTGAGACAAACTTATATTTTGGAAATCATTTTTACATTTTAAGGAACGATAAAGCTCTCGATTTACCGGTTGATCTTGGTTGCAACCCTCACCTATGGTCATGAGCTGTGGGTAGGGACCGAAAGAATAAGATTTGAGGATACAAGTAGACAAAACGAGTTTCCTCCGTCTGGCATGGGAACACCCGGAATGCTCAAGGAGGAGCTGCAAAACGTTGCTGGGGTGAGGGAAGTATGGGTTGGCTTACTGCGCTTGTTGCCATAGTGACCCGACTTTGGATAAGCAGAAGAAAATGGATGGATGGATGGATAGATTTTACATTATATAAAACAAAATAACAAAACAAAGGAAAAACAAATTATTATTTTAGAAACAAATGTAAAAGATGTGAAACACACGAGTGCTGAGACAAACTTACGAGTGTCAGAACACTTTTACCAGTCCCGAAAAAAATGTGTTCTACTGAGTTTTTGGTGAATGACGTTTTGTCCGTTTTGTGGAACCCTCCTTAGACAGTTAACGGGACTTTGCTTTTTGTCTGGACGGTCTCTGATATATATTATATTTTCCATCCTGTCCCTGCTCTTGACAAAAAGATACAATAATTTTATTAAATATAATGTAAATGGATTTAAGCTTATATAGCACTTTTCTAGTCTTCTGACGACTCAAAGCGCTTTTACACCTCATGTCACACCTACTCATTCACATAATGATGGCAATCACTATGTAGTGAGACCATCAGAAGTAACTAACCCCATTCATACGCCACAGACGAAGCAGCGGGAGCAATTCGGGGTTAAGTGTCTTGCCCAAGGACACATCATACATGTTGCTACAGGAGCTGGGGATCAAACCCAACTCTACCACTGAACCACAGCCACCCAATGTCTCAGGTGGATTCTACAAAACAGACTCAACATTATTTGATGTTCTGCCACTTGTAAATTTGTCTCAGCACTCAAAAAAGTGTTTTACATCTTGTAAAAAAAAAATTTTGTCCTTGGCAAAAGTGTTTCTCTTCTGTAAGATGGTTTTCATAAAATCAAAAAATATTTTCCAAAATAAAAATGCTTCACACTTTGTGAACACATTTGGGTTTGCACTACCCTGCCACGAGAGATAAGGGAGTTTGTACCACTGGAAATAAAAGAATCATGGCCAAAGATTTGTATTCAGTAACCAAATTTGATTAGACTGAAAGAATTCTGACTCAGATAAAGCATTCATAAAAAGATGGGAGGGAGGTACATTCTTTTATCCATTTAAAAAACAAAAAGAGGCAAAAGGAAAATCACAAGGAATAACGCTTACAATACCATCAACTGTCTTTTTTACTGGATAAAATATACTGAACTGGATATGTTATAAAAGACAACTACATTGTGTATTTCTTCACTGTGTTGTATCTGGTAGTGAATGCTGTTGCAGTCCATCAGAGATAAGGGTGATGTTAAAACCTTCTTCTTCTCTTAAATGCATTTGGAAATGTTTATTTCTCGCAAGCAACCACAGCCAAATTTGTAATCTGATGAAAGCCTTACATTGTTCACACAGAGATAAGTCCTGATCCTTTAAGTAATTTGACACCTTGGGCCAACTGTAGGCGAGTAGTACGGAGATGATGCTGCATCTGACAACATTTACAACACACCAAATGACAAATTAAAGTAGAGGGTTATTTTACTGGGAGAGATGACCAAGAGATGGCAAGCTTGAGTTTTACCTGAATCCTGATGTCTTTCATTTCCTTTCAGCATGAGGCTGATCTGGTGATGCCAGAAGACGAGGAAAGGCTCACCGCTACAAATTGCACGCCTGCTTCCCCTCATGGTGATGCACGCTATTTAATACATGCAGAAACACACGCAGTAACACATACACTCTCAGTAATTATTCACACAGATACTCCCAATGTCCATTATGCATGCAGTACAGAATAAAGCCAAGGATTCATGCAGAAAAAATAAGTAAATAAATGTTCACTGCCCATCTTTCTGTTAGACATGTTAAGATGTAATAACGTTTGTTATGACAAGATCCTGTGTGTTGTTGTCTGGATGTTGTATGTTGTTGTCTGGATGTTGTATGTCGGCGGTGTCTGGATGTTGTGTGTTGGTGTCTGGATGTTGTGTGTTGGTGTCTGGATGTTGTGTGTCGGTGTCTGGATGTTGTGTGTGTCTGGATGTTGTGTGTCGATGTCTGGATGTTGTGTGTCGATGTCTGGATGTTGTGTGTTGATGTCTGGATGTTGTGTGTAGGTGTCTGGATGTTGTGTGTCGATGTCTGGATGTTGTGTGTCGGTGTCTGGATGTTGTGTGTCGATGTCTGGATGTTGTGTATTGATGTCTGGATGTTGTGTGTTGGTGTCTGGATGTTGTGTGTGTCTGGATGTTGTGTGTCGATGTCTGGATGTTGTGTGTCGGTGTCTGGATGTTGTGTGTCGATGTCTGGATGTTGCATGTTGGTGTCTGGATGTTGCATGTTGGTGTCTGGATGTTGTGTATTGATGTCTGGATGTTGTGTGTTGGTGTCTGGATGTTGTGTGTCGGCGGTGTCTGGATGTTGTGTGTTAGTGTCTGGATGTTGTGTGTTGATGTCTGGATGTTGTGTGTCGGTGTCTGGATGTTGTATGTCGGTGTCTGGATGTTGTGTGTTGATGTCTGGAGATGTCTGTATATCAAAATAACATGTCATGCATGTGTATGTTCTGTGTTTGGGGGCAAACTAAAGGAGAGAAGCTACTTGAGCTGACTGGAAGCCATTTCATCTTGGAATAAAGAATGATGTTAGTTTTCACAGGCACACCTGGCTTTTGAAAGGAGTGATAGCTGCTGTCACTTTAAATGGTCTGATTCATGTTACGCCTGAAATACACACCAGGTAAACAGTATGATCAAACCACCTATTGCAACTTCTTTGAGCCCTCCAAAATTACCAACCAACCAACCAACCAACCAACCAACCAATCCAATCATTATTTGTAAGGAG